CAAGATTACCGCAGACAGACAGCTGCCAGAGCACGCTGCATGAGATGAGCATCACACAGTGCCTGTGCCTGCACATCGAGATCCTGCAGGATGAGGGGGGCCCTGAGCAAAGAAGCTGGTCCTTAGCATGTGCTCCTGGCAAAGTGGATTTGGTCATGCAGGAGCAGACAGGATATGCAGGGTTGCATGAAGGCTTTCTGCCCACACAAGAAAAGTGGGGTTTTGCAAGAGGTGAGGACAAGGCCATAGGTGGTGCTGGGGAGAGGGGTAGGAAATGGCCTTGGCATTGCTAGGCAGCGTGGGGGAAAGTCCTGCCAGCCCTGCGCCACCCTCCCTGATGCTGCAGCAATGGGCTGGGCAATGAGCTGAGCCCACCCCACAGCTGATGCGCAGCACACACCTCTTTCACCAGCAAGCTCCTGAGATGAGCTGCATGGGTTGTTGGTTGATACACGGGGAAAATTACAGATGTTTTCATCAGTTAAAACTACTTTAAAATATGTAAGCTACTCATGAAATCTGCAAGTTGAGTCTGTGAAAATCCAAGTTTCTGCTCTAAAAGATACAGGGAGCCAACAAGCTGCTTCTGTCCAAATGGGAAGCATTTCTGCCAGGGCCTTCTCCAGGGCAGCTACCCAGACCTCGATGCTTCCTCTCCAAGCCCAGAAGTGTGTGACAGTCTTGATCTGACAGCGTCCATGGCAAAACACTCAGCTCTGTCTCTGAAACCTTCCTGAATTTTCTTTCACACCTGAAAGGTGCTGGTTGAAGGTGCTGAATCACAGCAGCACAGCTCTGCAAGTGAGACTTTGCAGGGACAGAGCGCTGCAAAAGAACGAACAAAACCTGAACCCTAAGTCGGACTAGGCAATCTCCAGCCAGCCTCCTCAACATTTTCCTGCAGTTCTGTAATTCTTATCACTGTCTCACTGTTTTCTTTCAACACCACCACACTACCAATAATCAGAGCCAGCACAGTACTTAATTGTGTGTAAGATATTGTTATTTCCATAATGCCAATATGTCCTCCTAGGATCCCGATTCCAACAGTGTGACGGCTCCATCATGGTAGAAAGAGGAAATTTTATTTGGATTTCAACTTTAAATATTGTAAATTGCAGAATGACTCATGACATCAGTTTAACAAAAATATCCTTGCACTCTCAGATTTAGAGGTCTCCTTTGAAATAACATTTTCAGACACCTTTGTGCTCATAAAAAAAATAGGAGGCACCCTGCCAACAAAGTGGCAAATTGTGCACAATTACATAAAACTAAGTCTAACAGGAAGCTTTTAACTCTGAGAGCTGATTCGGAGAGAAATTTTCCATTAAAATTACAACAACCTGCAGCCAAGGAGCAAGACAAATGTTTCAGTTTATCAGCTACGGGGCTCCTAATGTTAACGATGTGAACTATATTACAAAACTGTTGTACTAGTCATGTTTAGTTCAGTTAAACAATCTCCTAAAAGTATGTTTTCTATCTGATCGATCCATTAGGGTCTTCTGCTGTTGGGGCTCTTCTGTGGGGGAAACAGTATTTTTGCAGGCCAGGGAGGTATGTGTAGAAAACAACAGTACTGAAAACTAACTGGCTGCACATGGTCAGAGAAAATATGCTGTATTAAAGCAGCAAGGCTTGTCAGGGAGATGAAAGAGCCCTGGCTTGTGTTCATATTCAGCCGGTTAGATAGTACAGCAAAAACCTCAAGGCAAATGGTTTCATTAAACATTAATTTGTGAAGCGCTTCAAAGTTAAGGTTGAGGCATGCTTCTGTATAATACATAATATTATTCATCATCTAAAAAAGTTGTTTTGGATGCAATTAAGGAATAATCCTATGACTCTCAGCAGTGATTCAACTGAATTCAGGGAGGTCTTGCATCATTTAACACAGGCAAACATAAGCAGAGGAAGGGCTTGCGAGTATCTCCCTTTTAATTTAGCAGATCTGAGGGGAAAAAAAGTGCGTTAGGGGTTTAAATCGCGGCCTTCAATTCATTTCCTTTAGCCTTTCAAGTTTATCAAAGTAACTTAATTCCTAGAAGACAGCTAGAAGTTGTTTACAGTCATTCATGGTGTAGTGAAAATTGAACAAATGGTAACCTTCACACCAAGACTAGTTGGAAAGTTCTGCATAGGATGGACTACGATTCAGCTTTACTCTCCTGTTCCTTCCTCGCTCCTGAGCCGAAGCTGCTGCTGTTGCAGTAAGTGCTCAGGAGCAGCAATGAGAACCTCTTTCCAAGCAAGTGCCCAGTGAGCAGAAGTCCAGTGGGGCTGCGACCCCGGAGAGGACAGCAGTGTGGAAGCCAACACGCAGAAGCAGAGCACCTGTGCACGTGTCCCCAAGTGCTCCTCCTGACAAAGGTGCTGGCTGGGCAGCACAGCCCCAGCTGGCAGCGTGGGGCAAAGCTTGCCTGGTACAGCAGGATGAGTAGACAGGTGCTAAAACTAACTGCACGTACCCTTCGGTTTTTATAGGTATACCTACCTTCAGTGTCAATGAATAAACAAAGTTAATAGCGCAACTTTTAAAATTCAACTGTAAGCTAAAAAATTTTAATCTATGCTTTAAAATGTCCTTAATTTTTTTTAAAACACTTGGAACTATTCATGGCAGTTAGCACACACAAGCTGAATTAATGAAATACAGAGGAAATACAAGAAGATTATTTTTTCTTGTTGTTTTTGTAAAGTACGTTAGAAAGCACTTACAGATCTAAGTAAGAATATACTTTCTATTAAAAAGAATTGTCTTTATATTCTACTTGCTTACCAGTCTTCTCTTAATGCAGCATGCTATGCTGTAGTTGCTCAATGCATGCTCATAACAAGAAGTCCTGAAAATCACTGTAATTTCAAGAAATGCTTTGTAGGCCTGTCTCATGTAACAGCTGTATTATTGATCACGTCCACAAATTTCTTACTGCAAACCAACTATTTCAGAATCTCATCTAGCTCCTTCACCAGACATAAACTACTGTGCATCGCTGGAAAGGAAAAAAGAAGAGGAAAGATGTAGAAACTTGAATCATTTGTTAAGAGAGTAGTAGCTACCATGAATGGGGTCTCTCACACTGGGGCAAGTGAAGATTAATTTTCTACCATACATATAGCTCTAATATTCTTTGGTATCAAAATTACAATTGTCACTGACCCTATTAAAAACCATCTGAGGTAGGAGAGCTCAGCAGCACCATACCTAACACTACTCTAGTGCCAGCTCTAGTTTGGAAACTACTATTAATCTTTATAGGAAAGTTGTATCTCTGCAAGCAGTAACTCAAAATGCACTAGAGGCAACCAAACAACTTTTCAAGAGCCAGCTTAATGCTTGCAAGCATGAAGCTAGGTGTAAGCCAATTTGGTGAAAAGCTATATGTTACTCTGCATTCGCTGCCCACTGAGTTGCATGGTAACAAATTTTTAGTATCATTTAGTGTATATCAAAGAGTTACCTTTGATAACATGCCATTTTCTTACCAGGAGCTTGCCTAGCTAAGGAAACTGAGTGCCAGAAGCCGGGGGGG